AAATTTTAAATGGCCAAATTATTTGAAATGTTTACTAGGCAGTTGGAGATGTGAGCCTGAAGTCAGGAAAGACATTAGGGCTGGATAAATAGATCTGAGAATCAACAGCATAGAGATGACCCTTGAAACCACGGGAGCTGATGAGAGGACCAAGTGAAACAGAAGAGAACAAGGAGAGAAGAGGACCCAGGACAGAGCCCTGGGAGACCCCCATGGTTAGTGGCTATCATTTGTACAAAGATCCAGCAAAGGCTTCTGAGAAGAAGCAGCAGACAGTTAAGAGGAGAACCAGAAGAGAGCAGCATCACAGATAAGTGAAGAGAAGAGGGCATTAAGAAGAGGGTGATTGACACCAGTGAGGATCAAAAATAAGTTATTGGATTGGACAAATTAGAAAACATCAGTAACTTTAGAATTAGAGTGTAAGAGCCCTGAAAGCAGGGACTATTTCACGTTTGTCCAGTGTTTAGCACATTGGCATGTAAGAAACTCAATATTTGTAATTCATTCAACTACACCTTCCTGTTATTGAACAAGAATATGTAGTTGGGTGAACAAATCTTTGTGAAGAGAAACAGAGATATGTATAACAGTAACACAAAGATATTAGTACTATAAACCTTAAACAGACATGCAGTTTAAATCTGAGACAAATGGTCTAGACCACCAGCCAATATACACTCAAGTTCCCTTTCAAGTGCTTCTCAAACATTGGCAGTGGTTGTTATGTTCTAAGCTGAACAAAGTTTTTGTCAAGGAAAAACATGTCGTTCCCATTCCATATATTTAAATACCATTTTGTACATCTTGGATATATGCCTAGTGCTAACATGCATTCTGGGCAACCTGTGCCTACAAACCAAACTAGAATGTGCCCAATCCTTTCCTCTCCGACATGTAGTCTTCTGACTTTAGTATTTCTCCAGGTAATGCTTGTGGGGACTCTTATCCAAAGGATAAGCTGACATATTTATGGGGATGAATTGGCAGATGCACAGCATCATTACTGGACAACATGGTAAAATATGATTTGTTCTGGGCTGCAGAAAACAATTATTCTTAAGCCTGGTTGATACAGCATTTGAAAAGGGAAGGCCTATTAAAAAGTGAATTTGAAGAATGACAAGTAGAAAAGTTTCAAAAATGTTTTTTGCAAACAAGTTTGGACTGAGTTGTGTCAAGACATGAAGGGTGGATGGATATCTGTACCTTTGAAGGCATTTTCCCCTGTGGAACTCTTGACAAGTAACTCATTATGCCAGTGAAACAGGATAACCATCATGCCCAAGCTGCATTGTGGAAAGTTTTGTCTCCTGGGAAACTTTGAATAATAGAGTATGATAAAGATATGTTAAGTGAGGCGTGCAAAATGAAGCATCCTAAGTAAGAAAATCCAATTTTGGACTTCATTTATTGTGTTTATGAACCATGTAAAACAATATTATAGTTTTTCTATAACAAAGGGTCATTTTTGTTTAAAGTAATTTTCTTTTCTCTTTGGACTTGGCTTAACCAATGACTTCCAGTTCCAGGCTGAAGCTATCTTATGCCATGAACATGGGTGTCATTGATTCCCTGCTCAGTCAATCTAACTGTTATGTAAGAATCAAGATGAGGGCCAAGAGATTTATTACCCAATTCACAAGCGCTCAGAGGAAAAACACCATATTGGTTCTCTCTCTCTCCCCCTTCCTCTCTCACAAATAAATCCTTACTATTAAAAATCAGATGACTTGGTAAAGCTCTCAAAGATTATAATTAACTCCGAGGGATTAAATGAGAGTTAGCAAGCCCAGATTTGGAAATCTAAGACAGTTTTGGTAGAGAAAGTTTTTTTTTTAATTTGTAAACTCTAAATGACGTTTTAAAGCAATGATGGAGGCTCCAAATAAACAATATTGCCCATTTGTACCATCTATGTGCTGATGCTAGTGACTCTTTCACATTAGCAAGATGTTTTCCCAGCTGGTGAATTTCCAGTGAAACAAACAAACAACTTTTAGAAGCTTCAACAGATCCATGATCTCTTTGATGCACCTATCCACTGTAGGTGCAGAGCCATCTACATCTCATCCCATGTGATTCTTGTCTATATTCTTCAATTACTCCTTTATAGAAGAGTCACTGATTAAATTGGATCCATTCTTGTAGACCAAGGCTTCTTAATCTTTTTGGTGCCATGGATCTCTTTAAGAGCCTGGTAAAACTCATGAGTCCCTTCTCAGAATTATATTTTTAAGTGCAGAAAATGGATATCATTACAAAGGAAACTAATTGTATCAAAATTATTATCAAAATATTAAAAGAAAAAAGTCCACAGACCCGAAGTTAAGAACGTCAGCTCCAAGGCTTTGAACATTTGGGAGTAGTGCAAGGTCTCGTGATCACTTACTTTTTTATTCTTTCTACTTGACTGGCCAATTTTGCAATCCTGAACTCCCTGCTTGATGTCTTGCAACACATCCTGAATGCAAGTTTGATCATCAGTGCCTATACTTGCCATGACAGAATGTAAGCACCTTGAGGGCAAGGACATAGCAATTTAGAGGATCATAGAATCATAGCTCTACCCCTGAAGGCCACTGATCCCACCCCTTCATTTGACAGATGAGGGTACTGAGCACCAGGAAGTGACTTGCCCAAAGTCACAAAGGTAGCAAGTATCAGAGATGAGATTTGAACCCAAGGTTTCTGACTCCATAGCTTAATGATTACAGAAGCTGGAAGGTAATTTAGATATCATCTAGTTTAGCCTCTTCATTTAATAGAGGGGGAAACTGAGGCCCTGAGGAGGTAGCCAAGGTCACAGAGGTAGTAAGCATCAAAGATGAGATTAAACTCAGTTTCTCTGACTCTAGAACCAGTGAATTTTCTGCTAGGCTATGTTCCTACACACTTTTGTTTTTGTGCCCCCAGCTCCTGACAAACAGTACATGCTTAATAAACATATGTTGATTGGTTGATTGTCTTCATCATCCTTCTCTCCATCACCCATGATTTTGATTTTATGGAGATTCAGTTGTTCCAAGATTCATAGCCAGATAACATCACCAAAGGAAGATAGGGACAGATATTTCTAGAATGGTCATGTGCCTCAGTGGGGAAGCCTTGTGATAAGACTGTGGCTCCATGTAATGCCATCTGAATGGAGGGGCAGGGACTGCTAAATATAAGGGCACCTGGAAAATCACTAGCTTCATGAAATCTTTCTTTCATTTGGCATCTGCTGAAGGCATCCTCCGAGGTATTGGAAAATAGCTTTGTTAAGTATCTGTCTCCATGTCACTTGCCTTGCTCAGTGCTGGTAATCACAGAACCATTGAACAAAATGATCTCTGAAGTCCATGTGTTTGTTTTTCTTCCTCAGTACTTAGCACAGTGTCTGGCACATATTAAGTGCTTAATAAATGATTGTTGACTGACTGTTGATTGCCTGATTGGTCACATTTAGAATTTTTTTATGATCTTAACATAAGCATGGAAGACATCTTGTTGGAAGAGCACAGACAGAGTGAGAAAGTATCTAACACTTCCTTGTCCAAACTCCTAAATTTATTGTATTTTGCTGGTTAAGTTTTTCATTTTTTTATTCATTCATTCATTCATTCATTCATTCATTTGCTTACTTATTTATTTTTAATTTTCAACATTCACTTTTATAAGATTTTGAGTTCTAAATTTTCCCCTTCCCTTCACTCCCCCCTCTCCAAGATGGCATGAAATTTGATATAGGCTATACATGTACAATCATATTAAACATTTTTTCTGCATTAGTTATTTTATGAAAGAAAAATCAGAACATAAGGGAAAAAACCATAAGAAAGAAAAAAAAGAGAAAATAGAATGCTTCAATCTGCATTCAGACTCAATAGCAAACTCCTAATTTTAGAGCTGAGAAAATTAGGGCTAAGAAAAGTTAAATGAATTTCCCAAAGTAACTGCTAAGTGTCAAAGGAAGGATTTGAACCCAGATGTTCCTGAATCTAAGTCTAACCTTGTAGAGCACTGAATGGATATTTCATTTTATAAAGCTAAATACAATGTTTAAAATTTTATATCTTTTTTTCACATTTAGAAAAGTATTTTCTTGCCCTCTTTCCAGAGAACCATCTCTTAGAATGATTTTTCTAAACATGGAAAAAAAATTTCAGCAAAAAACCAAAAAATACATAGCTTCTCCCACCCTGTACATACACGCCCCCCCACACCCCTCTACCTCCGAAAATGAAGTGGGGAATACCTTTTAATATTTCTTTATTGCGATGTTGGGGGATCAAGTTTGGTCATTATAATTTTGCCACTTTTTTTATTACTTTGTCTTGTTTTCCTATTCCATACCTCAGTTTCTTCATCTATAAAATGGGAGGGTTGGGCTCAAAGATCTCTAAGGTGCCTTCAGCTCTACATCTATGATCCTACATTTCTGCAGTAATTGTGTACCTTGTTTCTTGGCTCCACTTACTTCCCTTTACATCAGTATGTATAAGCCTTCCCATTTTCCTCAGTATTTATTACATTCATCTTTTCTTATAGCATGGTAATATTCCATGATATTCTCGTACTGCAGCTGGTTCAAAAATTTCCCAAATAATGGGTATTCAGTCCTTTGCCAATAAAAAGAATGGTGCTGTACATATTTTGGTTGATACTGTACCTTTCTTATTGTCATTGACCTCCTTGAAATATATGCCTAGTTTGGGGATCTCTGGGTCAGCTGGCATAGGCATTTTAGTCACTTTCTTAACATAATTCAAACTTATTTTCAAGAATGTTTGGACCCATTCCAAGCTCTAAGTATTTATGTGCTCATCGTTCCACAACCCCTCCACTATTGTCTGGGCCCATCTTCTGTCAGCTTTCCGATTTGCTAGGTGTCATGGGAAAGTTCAGAGTTGCTGGGATTTGCATTTCTCTTGTTATTAGCTACTCAAGTCAGTCTTTTATTCATAATAGTTTGCAGTTCATTAGAGAAAGATTTTTCATCTCCATTGACTACTTACTTATTACGGAATGGTGTTTCATCTTATGTTTCTATGCGTTGTCTATACATATCTTGAATATCAGAGCCTTATCTGAGATATTTGACACAAAGATGTTCACCCGATCATTGTCGTTCCAATTATTGTAAGATGGCATCCAAAGGCCCCTCCATGGAATCTATAAGAAATAGATAATTATTTTCATAAGACCCATGCACAATACAAAAGATACACATACCCACATGTGTGCACATATACACACATGTGTATCCATAGATAAATGTGTGCATATACCTATATACATACATTGTGCATGTATGTATACTTATTTGCATGTATGTATGCATATAGTTACATATGCACATATACATACATGCATATATCTGAATGTGTGTATATATACAGATGTGTATATGCATGTGCATATGCGTATATGTGTGTACACATACATATATCTTATGAAGGAAATAACAAATTATTAAAAGTTGCATGATTATCAAATTCTCTAATAATTAGAGAAATGCCTTAGGATTTTAATAAAGATAAAATCCAATGTTGGTAGGGCTATGGAGAAAGAGACATTCTAATATATGGTTGATGAGATCACGTATTGATGCAAACATTTTGGAGAGCAATATGGCAATGTGCAGGAAGAGTTACAAAACTAATCATACTTTGCAACCCTACACTTCCATTGCTAGAATTCTATCCCCAAAACATCATAAAAAGGCATATGTATACAAAAAATATTCATAGCTTCTCAAAAAAAAGTATGTCCAACAATAGGTGAATGGCTAAATAAATTATGGTATGTAAATGTAATGGAATATTATGGTGCTATAAAAATGATATATATGATGCATATAAGGAAATCTGAAAATACCAACCCAAAATGATATAAAGAGCAACCAAAACAGAACACTATTTATATGGTACATAAAAGAAAGGAAAAAGGATGAAAAAAGGGACAAAGGTAAGAAAGATAAAAATGAACAAAAAAATCATGTTAAAACCTTTTCAGAAAAGATTTTTCCAAAGTTTTTAAATTAAAAGGCACATTCTAGTACCATCACTACCATTATATACCATTTATACAGCTTTTACAACTAAAATTTTATAACTTTAAAATTTTGTATATAAAGCTATATATAACTAAATGTAAAAATAATGTGAATAATACATTGGATATCAGTTATTAATGGTTAACATTTATATAGCACTTAAATATTTTCAAAGTTATATGTACATATATAAAATTATATATATACGTACAAAGATATATATATGTATACATATAAATACAAAGGTATATACATACATAAAACTCCATAAAAACCATATATAGGTATGTGTATATACATATATACATACATATATACATACATACATACATATACATATTTATATATATAAAACTTTAGATAAAATAACTATGTGTGTGTTATGTGCAACTAAGCAGTTCAGTGGATAGAGCCCTGGTCCTGGAGTCAGGAAGACTTGAATTCAAATCCAGCTTCAGACATTTTTTAGCTGTGTGACCCTCAGCAAGTCCCTTAACCTGTTTGCTTCAGTTTTCTCATCTGTAAAATGGATATCGTAATAGCACTTACCTCCCAGGGTTATTGTAAAGATGAAATGAGATAATATTTGTAGAGTACTGAAAATGCTACATTAATGCTATTTAGCTATCACTCTATGTATACGTATTCATATGCATGTATGTACATACATTGTGACATCTCAGTTCTCTCTAGATGTAGAGGTAAATTATGTAGATTTAGGTCTAGACTTATACTCATATGTTTCAGCGTCTCAACTCATCCTCAGAACCCCAAGATGTCAATGTTATTGTTATCCTCATTTTAGAGATGAAACAAAGGTGAACAAAGGTTAGATGACTTGCCCAGCATCACACAGATTTTCCCTGTTTTTAATTATTAATTTTTTTTATTTTCAATTTACAAGCTTTTACTTTTTGTGCCTCCCCTTCTTCCCTCCCCACCACTGAAAAGTAAAAGGAGATCCTTGTAATAAAGATGCAGAGGTAACCGAAACATGTGTGTCCCATTCTGTATACTTAGTACATTTAAGTTTCTGAGGCAGGATTAGAATTCAGGTCTTCTTGACTCAAAGGCCAGTGCTCTACACACACACACACACACACACACACACACACACACACACACACAGAGTTAATAGGTGTGGGGAGAGAAAAACTGTACAACCTGGGAAGGAGACGCATAAGAAAAGTTTGAGGTTCTTTCCCCCTTTGATATTATTCTATACTTTTATAGTCTTATTCTAACCCTATGTTGGTCACTTGATTACTTATTTTTATTGATTGTTATTAAACCCATAAATATTCTGAAATCCAAAATCTGGCGGCACCAAGTTCCTGTGTCCTTCACCTCCCTTGCCTACTCTCTCCAGGCTTGTTAGAGGCACCAGATGGCAGAATCTAGGGACCGGGCACCCAAGAGCAACATACAAGGATTGATATTGAGTGAAATATAAATATACAATTAAATTATTTTGTGGAAAATCTATTATAAAGAAATTCTTTTGCTATTAGTCAAACTGACGTGATATTGGTGTCGCTATTTAGTATAATATATTATTTAGTGCTCTCTCTCTCTCTTTCCCTCCCTCCTCCCCTCCCCTCTTCTCATTCTCTCTCTCTCTCTCTCTCTCTCTCTCTCTCTCTCTCTCTCTCTCTCTCTCTCTCTCTCTCTCTCTCTCTCTCTCTCTCCATACATACATTTAGCCAGTTAGAGATTAAATGGTGTTGTCACTACTGAATTTGGATCACAATGAATCATCATAACCTCTTACATTACATATATATCTGTATGTATGCATATATGTGTGCACATATGTAGATATATTGTATACATACATTATGTTGCATATGTTTACTCAACAAAACCGTACAATTCAGATTCCTCATTTTACAGGTAAGGAAACAGGCCCAGAGAAATGAAGTGATATATAAAGCTGCTTTTAATTCACTGCCTCATGTGATGGAAAGATCACTGGACTTTAGACAAGTCTTTTCCCTTCTCTGAACCTCAGTCTCATCCTCTATAAAATAGGGATGATATGTGTACCACCTACTTCCTTGGAGGCATAATGGTGTGGTGGGAAGAGTTCCAGCTTTGGAGTCAAAGGGTCAGATTAGAGTCTTGGCTCTTTCCTACCTACATGACCATGAGGATGTCACTATACCTCTAGGCCTCAGTTTCCTCATCTGTAAAATGAGGAAGTTACATTAAATCATCTCAAAAGCCCTTCTAACTTGAAATTCTCTGATCATTCCCTGTTACCTTATATTAAAATAGATTACTTATATAACAGGAAGGGGGCTGTCCAGACTTGAGGTTACATAGATTTAAGTGGCTCCCCATGACACCAAATGTCCCCCTCTACCAAAGCAGATCACTTGTTCAACAGCTTGTGAATTTGCTTACAGAGTTATCCAGCGCATTGGGAAATGAAGTGACTTGTCCAGGGTCACACAATCAGCATGCGGCAGAGGCCAGGTTTGAATCCAGGTCTTTTCTGGTTCTCAGGCTGCTTCCTATTATTGTCATCTACAAAATAAAGGGATTAGACCAGATGACCTCTAAGGCCTCTCACTAGGCTGGCGAGTCTGCTACCTGTCTGCCTTGGCTCATTTCCAGCTACATTCCTCCACTTTTCAGACCCAACTTAGCAGAGTGGTGAAATGATGCTTCTCACAAATCTGGCTGTACAGGCGGTACAGCTGCTGTCCTGCAGGGAGAGAGACGCTGTCCTGCCCCCACACCCTAGATCTGGTTCTCATGGTTTCCTCCTTCTAGGTTCTCGTTAATGCAGCCATCCTAGTCCTTGTGCTGAGAGAGCCCAGGCCTGTCCTGAATCGCAGACCTTAGTGTAGAAGAAACCTCACAGGTCATGTCGCCTGACTGATCCTTTCCTACGTACGACATTCTCCATGAGTAAGGCATCCCACCCATCCTACTCTGGGTAGTTTCAATTATTAAGCAGGGAGTTTGTCTGGTTCCCAAACTGGCTGCTTTGCCCTTTCCCCTCATTGCTTTCATCCTGCCCAATGGGGTCAGACAGAACAATGAAGACACGTGTCATATGCCCCCTAAGCCTTGTTTGCACCAGACTAAACATGCCAGTTCCTTTGGTGTATCCTCATGTGCCACTGGCGCCAATCCATTCACAGCTGTAACTGCCCCCCTCTTCACACTTCCCAGCTCATTGACACTATCCTGCAGTTGGACATTGTCTTGTACATATGGCCCACGCCGAACTGAGAAGAGGATCATCAGCATCTCCTTCCTCCTAGAAACTAAGCTTTTCACCACAACTCAAGACCCTGCGAACTCTGGTGGTTGTCGAGCCAAACTATTAAGTTATATTAAGCTTGCAGGCTATGAAAACTCCCAGATCTTTCTCAGATTCAGTACTTTGTAATTGCATCTCCCTCATCTGGATGTATTTTATACTCAAACACGATATTTTATAATTGCATCTCCCTAATCTCATACATGTGGAGTTGGTATTTTGAACCCATGAAAGCAAATATATTTATCACGAATAAATTTCATCTTATATGACGTGGCCTTGGAATCATAATCTATTATGACTTTTTCCCATCTTGATCCTATCCTCCAGTGTGTTAAGTCCCCCTCTTAGCTTTGTATCATCTAAAGATGAGATCAGTATAACAACATTGCTTTTAACTTAGTCATTGACAGAAATGTTAAAGAGCATAGAGCCAAGCACAGGACCCTGAGGGACTCCACTGGAGATCTCCTTCTAAGCGGACATGGAACAATGAATGTCTACTCTTTGATTTCAGTCATTCAAAGAATTCCAAACCCACCTCGTTGTAGGCTGCGTTTTTCCATCTTGTTCACAAGAATAGCATGAGAAATTTTATCAAACACTTGGCTAAAATCTTATTATAGCCACAGAATTCTCCATATTTACCATTTTAGCAAAACAAGAAAGAAAGAAAGAAAGAAAGAAAGAAAGAAAGAAAGAAAGAAAGAAAGGAAGGAAGGAAGGAAGGAAGGAAGGAAGGAAGGAAGGAAGGAAGGAAGGAAGGAAGGAAGGAAGGAAGGAAGGTTAGTCTGGCATGACCAGTTCTTGGTGAAATCATAAGAGCACTTTATTATCACCAGTTGCTTTTCAGAAGTTCTGGTCATTTTTCTTGTATTACTTCTTGTGTTGTGGTATTAAGGTTGTTTTGTGGGATTTTTTTTAATTCATCAAGTTCTTCTAGCAGACCTACTATTATTAGGTTATCTATGCACTGCCTGTCTTAAAATCAGTTGCTTTGGGTTGCAGAGAATGTGTTGTTTTAACGTTATTCCCTTGTGTTTTTTTCTGTCATTTTTTCCCGAACATTTTAACATTTTGTATTCCATATCTATTAATTTCAAATCTCTTGTGAGATTGTACATCATGGATTCAATTTTTCCTAATCTACTCTTTAGGCAGTGATGTGGCTTAGTGGATAGAGCACTAGGCTTTGAATCGGGAAGACTCATCTTCATCCGTTCAAATACGGCCTTAGACACTAGCTGTGTGACCCTGGGCAAGTCACTTAACCCTATTTGCCTCAGTTTCCTCATCTGTAAAATGAGCTGGAGAAGGAAATGGCAAACCATTCTAGTATCTTTGCCAAGAAAACCCCAAATGGAGTCATGAAGAGTTAGACACAACTGGACAACAACAAAATCTACTAATTGTGTTTTAAATTCTCCATCAAGAGCTCTAATTTCTGCCCTGTTGTTTAGCCATTTTTTCAGTCATGTCTGACTCTTTGTCATTTATTTTTGCAAAGATACTGGAGTGGTTTGCCATTTCCTTCTCTAGCTCATTTTACAAATAAAGAAACTGAGGCAGACAGAGTTAAGTGACTTGCCTAGGGTCACCCAGGTAGTAAGTGTCTGAGGCCACATTTGAACTCAGGTCTTCCTGACTACAGGGCCGATGCTCTATGCATTACATCACCTAGCTGCCCTTAATTTCTGCCCCATATTCATTCCTAATTTCTTCTCTTGTAGAATTGCACTCTCTTTTGCCCTCTTCTGTAGGTTCTGCTTGTTCTATGCTTTCTGGAGAGTTTACAGAACTCTCAGACACTGATTCACTTCTGTTTGTATTTGTTTTGTTTTGTTTTTTGGGCAATTGGGGTTAAGTGACTTGCCCAGGGTCACACAGCTAGTAAGTGTCAAGTGTTTGATCTGAGGCAGGATTTGAACTCAAGTCCTCCTGACTTCAGGGCCAGTGCTCTATCCACTACGCCACCTAGCTGCCCCTGTATGATAGTATTTGTTAAGAGAGCACTAAGCCTTCATTCACAAGTAGCCAGTGGTGGGCGAGATTGCAATGAGAATAGGAAAGAGACCAGTTTGGTTATAATGTAGAGTATATGAAGGATTAAAAAAAAAAAAGAGCTACTAATGCCAATTGTGTAGAAGACCTTAATGCCAGGCTGTGATTGAATATTTTAGGCTTCAGGCAATGAGGAGCTGCTAAAGATTTAACTCAGATAGGACATGAATAGTTGAGAGGGGGCAGGAAGCAGCTATGTAAAGAATGAATTAGAAAACTTTGATGCAATGAATAGATCATTGGCCTTGGAGTCAAGAAACCTTGGATTTCAATTCTGCCTCAGGCACTTATTAGCTGTGTGACCCTGGGCAAATCACTTAACCTCTCTTTGTCTGAATTGTTTTCAATCTATAAAATGATGGAGTTGGAATCTCTAACCTCTGATGTCCGTCCCAGCTCTTAAGCCATAATCCAATGAGACAGAAGACAGGGAGATCTGTTAGGTTCCTCTTGCAGAGCTTCAGGTAAGGGGTGATGGGGCCCTAAAGCAGAATACTGATTATAGGAGTGGGTTATTAAGATGTTTTGGAGGTGGAATTAGTAGAACTGATTGGATACTGGGTGATAGGGATGGAGGGAAGGAGAGAGTTTGGAAGGAAAAAGAAGGATCCAAAGATCTTTTGGGCTCAGGTGCTTGGGAGGATATTGATGAAGTCAACAGCAGTATGGAAGGGGCCAGAGACAGGAATGTGGGAAGGGTGAAGACTTTAAGGTCCTAGATGGACTTCAATATCATGATGCCTAGTAAACAAATGGTGATACAAGACTGGAGTTAAGGGAAGAGTTTGCAGCTGAATACAAGGAATTCATATTCATCTACGCAGTGGTGATATTTGAAACCTTGGAAGGGAACTGGGTGAGATTGCCAAGGATTTAGGTATACATAGAGGTGAGATGACAACACAGGGTGGAAGCTGGAGTGTCCTCCTGCATCACAGCCAGACTTGAATCAGCCATCTATTCCATTGACCAGTAAAGTATGTCTTGTAAGGATCACCACATTGAATGGCCATAATCCTACCTGGAGTTGCTTACATGGAGAAAGCCATAGAGCTTCAACTAAGGGAGAGAACATTCCATCTTGCTCTGCCATGTGTAAAGTTCTGGGAGAGCTATTTTCGGAAAGACTTTTGTGAATTGTGACAAAGTTCATGAGGGAAAGAGAAAGAATTCCATGCAACAATTAGTTGAAGAAATTTGGAGAAAGTTATTTAACCTAGAGATAAAAATAAGCTGGGACATGGAGACTCTTGAGGTATTTGAAAGGCTATTTTGTGGGGGCAAAAAGGGATTAAATTTGTTCCTCTTAGCCCCAGAAAGTTGAATTATAAACAATGGAAAATAAAACCCAAAAGAAGAAAAGGGTAGCTCCATTCCTTCACTGGAGAGGTTGGGTAAAGTGAGTGTGGATACTGCTGACACTGTCAGATTCAGATGACATGCTGTTTCTAATCTATGGGATTAGAAAGTGACCTGGGCATCCGGGCACCAAAGACATATGTGAAAGTGCGAGGCATATTTCAGAACTATGTCCTGAAGATGATAAATATTATAAACTATCACTTGTTGAATTTGAATAGTTTTGGTATTTGGGATGACAGTAATCTCCAGGCCCAGTAACTATGGTGACTTTAGTTTGGGAACTTTCTGGAAATTGTGTGAAATGGAATGTTTGGGACTTTCTGTATGTCATTTGAGGTTATTGGGAACTGTGCCACATGGACTTTGCTGGGAACTTTTGGTTCAAGGAACTGAGACAGATACTTGAAAAGACAATGTCTGGTCCTCCACAGGACCTAAGAGAACTTTCCAGAATTAGAGATAGGGATAAATGTGCCAAATATACTCTAGTTGATTTGCTGAGGTTGGAGAAAGGGCTATGTGAATTTAAGATGAGAGACAGCTTCATTATTCTCCCAGGAACTATGCACTGTAACTGTCTCTCATTGACATTTCCAGAGGAAGGTTCCAGCACTGGACCCTGGTGAGGGTCCTGAGCACCTGCTCCACCTTGGCCGTAGATAACTGCTTGTACATGAAAGTTAGAGTGCATGTACTAGACTAGAGAAGCTTCTGGAGACCTCTTAACTGACCCAGGAAACTAAGGGTCAAGCCTCTGAGAGAACCTTCTGGTGATCTAAGTACAAAATGTCATTTATGAAGCAGCAATGGACATTCT